GTGCTCAGAGTTTAAAGATAATTACCCCTTACTTTGATGGACATAATTTTTACAAGCTAATTGAAAGCATTTTTGCACCATCACATAGTAACTGTTCCTTTTTGGTAGAATTCTAGTTAAAATACTAAGCAGAAAATATTTTGCCTTTTTTTCTTTTTCTAGATAAGTCTTTTTTAAAGAAAAAGTAAATGTTTTTATTAGCAGCTTTAAGTATCATACTGGTATTTAATAAAACTCTGTTTATATCTATGAATTCTGGTATTTAGCTTTCAAAATACAATCCTAGATAGACCATGCCACAAGAACAAAGTAATAGAGTCACCAGTAGTGACTCTAATACTTTTAATTGTCTGACAGCTTGACTCTGTGATGGACAAGAATTCCCAGGAAAGAAATGCAATCCAAAAGCTTTTATTCCTGAGAAGACGACGAACTGATAAACATCCATTAAAAAGAATACTGAAGATATGCCATGCATAAAGGGCAACATGAAACACTGCGCCTTAAGCACAATGCATAAACCAATGTACACCAGCTGATTAACCATTGTCCTCACAGTGGAGACAGTGCACGTGTGTGTGCAAGAGTGAACATCTTTATACACTGCGAGCATAAATGCCTCCACTCAAAAAACCTGCAATTAAAATAATTATCCAGACGCTCTGGGTATTTATACTAAAGATATACAAAAATAATCTTTTAAGCACATACGATTGCCAACACCATGCATTCTTTGTTATGGAGATCACACCTGGGAGTTCAGTGTTAGACAATGCTAGAGACAGAAAGAAAAATAAACTGAATTCTTCCCAGCGAACACCTTGTAAATTGATGATACATAATGAATAATTACTACATTTGCTTAGCAGGAAGAGGTATGTTTTGGTTGCCCAAATGGTATTTCCCAAATTGATCACAAAATAAAAACCACGATGGATTGTTGTTATCCTACACCAAAAAGCAACCTACGGATTACGCTTGTTTCTTTGATCTTTTCCAAACAGATTTCACTCAATAAACTGCTTATATGGCTTTATAATCACATCATACTAGAGGCTGTTGTTCACTGTCAGGAAAATTTTGGGGGGTGAGAATAATGAAGAGCAACTAAAAACAGGTCCACAGGGATTTCCTGAAGACAAATAAACAAAATTTCTGAACTTCAAGATGGGTCAACACAAATTTGTCTACCATTGTCCTAAAAGGAAAATTTATCTGAAAGCATCAACAAAGATATTCCTACACAAGCTCTACTCTGACAAAACCACAGTTTAAATATTAAACTGTTGATTCATAAAACAATTTCTATCAAATCTGGAAGGGACACAGTCTAAGGTAACAGCGACAACTGCACTCTGCCTAGCTCATATTGGTTCCATTGCTTGCTCTTCACTCAAATATATGCTGAACTTGGAAGGAAACGTGTGATAAATAAGGGGGCTGAGGAGGAATTCCCTGTTACGTGGGAGAACTGCAGCAACACAGGACTGTTAAAAACAAATGGCAACAGGACTGGGGATAATGGCTGCTAATGCAAGACGTTATACACAATGTAGGAAGGTGATGAACAGGGTGAAACCTTGGGTGAAAAAGATATTTTGTGAATGTATTTGTAAATTTGGAGCTGTGTGTAGCTTTGAAATCTATTAAAAGAACATAATAGTATCACATTCCCACGATGACACACACTGGTTCACATTTTAACCATAACCAGAGACTTGCAGGCCCCACTCATGTGAGTGTGTCACTATGTCTGAAGGCACCAAATTTGCTGATCTACCTTTAACCACATTCCAACACATACAAAGTGTTCTTATACAATCAAAAGGCAGATGATTAGCTAATAAAATACATTAATATAATATAAGGCACAGACAGAAGCAACTAAAATACATTTCTGCAGAAGAGATTAGCATAGATGTTTCAATGGATTAGGGAGTTTCAGTGACAGAAGGTATGTTTAATATATAAAATCCATGTAATGAGAAGCAGTGGAAAAAATAGGACAACTGTCATCAGTCCAAGAAGTATCTTCATAAAAAAAGCTGTCAAATATAAACACTTCTCAGTAACAAAACCCTCTGCAACTGAACAAAGCAAATTTAATTCAGAATGTACAGTGTACCTCATAATGCATTTTAAAATTACAAATATCCTTCAGCAACTGGATATCTCCAAACTGAAACAACCTCCTCCTGTTAAATAACCCCTGCCTGACGTTTATGATCAGTTGAATGTAAATATTGTTGCTTTATTTTAGCAAAAGGACAGTTAAAAAGGAAAACGATCAACGTGTATAAATATACCCAGAGGCAAACACCTGAGAAGGATAAGAAATTATGCTGGCATAACACCAAATGGTAATAACTTGGCCATGAAGAAACTGAAATGAAATAACCTGGTGTTTTCAGATGAAAATTCACAATTTTGTTATCAAGATGACCTGGTTGTTTCCAATAACAAGGGCTTAAAGTCAAGTGACCCAAGGATGTTCCCCATTTCCAGTCATACATCCTAAGAACACAATGAAATTTAACACTCCTGTAAAACAACTCTATGTTAAATCCTGTAAATCTGCTAGCTGAAAAAATACTATACTGGCTATAAATGATAAGAGAAAAATACCTGTAAACTCAGATATCAATGAATTTCCAAAGCTTTAAAAATTATTTACAGGGTTCCAAAAAACCATGGATCCTCATTCAAGCTATCAAGACTCTGAAGGATCCTTTCCAGCAACGGGTGGGGCTGCTTAAACCCTGTTAAAGCAACAAACTCTGGAAGATACTTTACTTCCTACCAATATTCCTTATTCCTGTTCCTTCCCACAAAAATTGAGGAGAGAAAAATGATGATATGGCATACCTTAACATCACAGAAAACAAACAACAGCCTTATCATCTCTGATGCCTCCTGGAATTTGTTTTAAAACTCCCTGTCAAAAAAACTCAAGAAAATAATACTGAAGAATAACCAGTGCATACACACGATATACTAATCAATCACAGGCCTGGCTCCTTCATTGGCCTCTGTCACTGACTTTGGTAAATTTTATACAAGAACCTATTGAAAACACATAAAAACTTAGCAAATACATTTAGAATATTTAATGTTTTGTTTCATGGGGTGTTTTTTTCCAAGTTGTGAAACTAGTAAACTGCATCAGGAAAATCTGCACTAGGTAAATGAACCAGTTCATAGAATCACAGAATCATACAATTAACTGGGTTGGAAAAGACCTTCGAGATCATCAAGTCCAACCCTTGATCCAACAACGCTGTGGTTACTAAACCATGGCTATAAGTGCCACTTCCAGTCTCATCTTAAAAACCTCCAGGGATGGTGAATCCACCACTTCCCTGGGCAGCCCATTCCAATGCCTGATTACCCTCTCTGTAAAGAATTTCTTCCTAATATCCAACCTAAACCTCTTCTCTTACTGCTTGTTGCCTGGGAGAAGAGACCGATGCCCATCTGGCTACAACCTCCTCTCAGGTAGTTGTAGAGAGTGATGAGGTCACCCCTGAGCCTTCTCTTCTCCAGACTAAACAGCCCCAGCTCCCTCAGCCTCTCCTCATAGGACTTGTGCTCGAGTCCCTTCACCAGCCTGGTTGCTCTTCTCTAGACCTGCTCCAGCACCTCAATATCCTTCCTGAACTGAGGGGCCCAGAGCTGAACACAATACTCAAGGTGTGGCCTCACCAACACAGAGTACAGGGGAAGAATCATTTCCCTGCTCCTGCTGGCCACACTGTTCCTGATGCAGGCCAGGATGCCATTGGCCTTCTTGGCCACCTGGGCACACTGCTGGCTCATGTTCAGCTTCCTTCACTCTTAGATTAGACTAATTTGTACTTCTTAAGGAAGCATAAAAAATCTGTTCTATTGTCAGTTGATGCTCCATCAGGTCCATGTTTTAGTCTCAGCTTTTACTAATTAATATATTTTTTGTCATTAAATACAACGGCCTTTTATTTTGAGTGTCTTTTGCAATACTCATGTTCAACAGAAATGTCATTTCAGTCGAACCAAAGTTTCAAAATACAGAAGAAATTAATTGCAGTTTCACCTGAAAAAAATACTTTCCTTTCTTTCCCGTCTCCTCCTCTTTTCCTTCTACTGATTTTTTAACACCCCCCTCCAAAATACATACAATGTATCATCTTTTTCCCAAAAAAACCCATAATTAAGCACATATGCAGCTCTTAAGCCAAGAGCATTCAAGAACTCCTAGCCTAGGAAGCCCAGATCACGACATAACAAACATTCTCTTTCTGGAAAATGCATACTTAAATACTTAAAAAACTAAAAAGAAGATGTTTATTGAAAGTGATATCTAAAGTTTACTCTTAATTACTGTTGCTTTGCTTTATTAAAAATATTAAATTATTTGGGGGACAAAAGATTTTATTCATCAGATAAGCAGTTTTTTTCAGAAAAAATCCCTTTCATTTTGAGCTATTATTCACTATTTCACTTCACACTGAACCAGAAATCAATTATTTACAAGGTTCTAATCTGAAGTTATTAAAAATGGCTTTATGCTCTCAAAATTCCTCTTTCTTATCCTTCTTTCTTTCTTGAAATGAAAATACCTATTGCAATCAAGACTTAATTGCAACAGATGGAGGGCACTTGCTAGTATAGCTTCTTTTTTTTTTCTTGCTTTTTAAATTCAAGTGTTGTGGGTAGTAAGGAACATACATATATATATATATATATATATATATATATATTTGCATGTATACATATATTCACCACTGTAACCCTATTTGTAGACTGGAAATTTCTAAGTAATTAAAAGGGAAAATATGGGCAGCTTTTGCGTGTGGAAAGTGAATGTACTTACAGAAGCTCTCAGGAAATAATCGCTGTGCTAATACAGTGCTGTCGAAAAAAAACAAGTGGATGTGATGACTCTATAAATATACACACCATTCTTACAGAATTCAGGACAGTGTATATCACTGCATTCTTATTCTGCCTCATTTAATACTCACAGACAGACTGTAAGAAGGTTCCAGTATCACTGGCACTGACATCTTCCCTTGAAGATTCAATTTTGTTAAGTAAAAAATCTTTTCTCCCACAATCCTCTCTTTTTTCATGCGACGTACGCTGTACAGTCTAAAGCGAACTGCATAATTCCCAATCATCTCAGACTCAACGTGATTAAATTTGAATGTCTCTGTGAAGACAGGGCACGGTCCCCGCTGGATGCTGGTTTTTGCTCTCTGCTTCTTTATAGGGAGAAGAACTAGGTGTACTTGCCACGAGCTTCCACCTGTCCTGCTGTATGTGGGAATGTCTGTGACAGCTGTCACTGTCACCAAAAGCTTCTGTTCCTGTGAGTCATAGTCAAAAGTCACATCCAGTGTGCCATATTTAGCTACTGGCTCAGGATCAAAAGGTTTAGGAAGCTGTGAAGATGATCCTCGAGCTGACATATCCTGAAGAAGAAGGGAAAAAAAGTCATTTTTTTATTTATTTATTGCATTCTATTATTAAATCTAGTGTGGAAATACATGGCTTTCTTTAGACAATGTGAAGGCACTATGATCCTTTTGTTCATTTCATAAACAAGGTTATCAAACACCAAAAGCCCAAGGAGAGGGCTGACTAGCAGACAAGAAGAAATCAAAAGACTTTACCTGGCCAATACCACCAAAAGTCAGGAGCCAGTCAGACAGAGCTCAGACTGAATTAGGCTGCATTGATGATCTCCTCCTCTGTGCCCACATGTTAAAATGTATATACATTTGTTAAAAGATAGAACTACCTTATTTCAGTGTGAGTATATACACATTTTTAAGTTAACATATTACAGTGTTTGAAGAGCTGGCTAATGACTGAGAGCACAGTGAGATACCAGCAAAGAATACAGGAATTACAAACCCACTTGCATGTGCAGCTCCTGTTGCAGTCCTCAAGAGTTGCACAAACATGCCAAAAATTATCACAGAATCACAGAATGGTTTGGGTTGGAAGGGACCTTAAAGAAGATCACCTAGTTCCAACCCCCCTGCCATGGGCAGGGATGGCACTCACTATCATGGCTTAATTCATGTAATTTTACTGGAACTGTGCAAGATGCATCTGTTTTGAACACACCTTCTGAACCTTCTGCAGACTGCATCAGTCCTAAAACTGTATTTTAAACTTAAAATTCAGGTTGTTTATTGACACTTCAAATTTTGAACAAAATATTGATCCCCTATATTTTTAGAACAGTTAGTTTGACAGTGATACTGAAACACAAAATATTTACAAGCCCAGGTCAACCTACTGCTCATACAATAAGTCATCCCAGGTATGTAAAACAAACAAATTTCAAGTGTACCTTGTACGCTTGTTCCCATGAATGGATGCCACAACAAAGCCTTTTGCATTAAAAAATATTCTTGTTTTAATCTGGTTCCCATAGTTATGGGAATTCATTCCTCTAAAAGCTTCACTCTTCAAGTTTTGAGTGGCTATAAAAAAAAGCTGGCAGCATTCTCAGTTTTTATTGAGTATGCTTACATTAAAAATTGGAGTGACACAAAACAGGAAGAACTAGGATTAGATTTCTTCCAATCTATCCAGATCCAAGGACTACATGTACACACCATGTCTTTACGAGCAATGAAGTTAATACAGATCATAGCTGATCATCAGGTACACAAAGACAGCTCGCCACTGCAGTACCTTGCAACTGGGCCTTCCAGATCTAGTACCAACACCCCAGGTATGCAGCATCAACTTACCAAAAGGCCTACTAAGGCAGAAACAGCTGTTGGCACAACAGGACTGAGCTCTAACATGTACTTCAATAGTTCAGGTAGCGACAAAAGACAAATTTGTCCCAAAAGCAGCCTCTCCTGCACATGACACCACTAATTAGACTTACCCATAGATGTCAGTGCAGTAACTGATTGTTAAAAGACATTTCAAGTAAATATCAGAAAAGATGATTTCTTCACAGAAAAAAACCATAGGTATCATTACAATTAGAGTAGAAAATAGGAAAATGAAGTGGACCAGTCACTATACCACATCAACAATTAAAAGCAAAATCTTCATGTTTGTTTTTTTTTTTCCATAAGAGTTGTTTTACATTATGGGGTGTTCTGTTTGAAAAGCATTTACAAAACTTCTCTTTTATTTAGGTTGTTTGAAAAATTCTGCAGAAGAATTTTGGCCACAGTCCTTATAGTTTGAAGAAGTTTTCTGACTGGTTTGAAAAATACTTCACTCTTACAGGAAGCTTGTTTCAAAGTTAAGGTGCCATAAAGGTAACTACAGCAATCTGGACAATCTGAGATGCTATTGTAATATTTTCTGACAAACTTTTTTTAAAAAAATTAATGAGGTGCAATATTAGTGTCCATATAACCCCCTACAGATTTTTAGATCAGAAAGCTCTAAAAAGTTGCATTGCATGGCACTTTAGAACACTTAACTATTTCCATTTACCTCTGGACTAAGAACGGCTGTGCTATCACTTGGCACATCCTCTTCGTATCCTTTGTTATGAAAGCTTTCTATTTCGTGTCCCGTGCTTCCCTCACTTGGGCACTTATATGAACATCTCGGACTGTTGCTACACTGGGAATATTCACATTTACTGTCTCCGACTTCAGAAGGCGTACAGGAAAGATGAGGAGAACCGCTGTCATCCTGGTATGGAGGCGGCTGCAGTTCATCTAGCGGAGGTGTTCTTCTCATCCTCTGTATGCAGTTCGCTGAGAATAAGTGAAAATTCTTTACTTACTTTCTGATTACTTACAGTAATTTCCACTTTCTGTGGAAAATGTAAGTCTAAATGTCTGGACAGAGTTTTTAAAAATCTATGTATGTTTTTTTTTACTTTAAGTTTCAAATCAGATGACAAATACTACAGAAAAAAAAACTGCTAAAAAAGGAAATTGATTATCTCAGATGAAAGAAATATAGATAAAAGAAAAGTTTTAAGTGTATAGTCAGAATGGATCGTGTAAACCATATAGAAATAAATATAGCACAAATATGACATGACAAAAATTCTAGGCTTGGACTTCGGTGATGCTTACCTTGCAAAAACCTTTGGATATCTTAAGTCAGGTTCTGTGCACGTGGAAGGTAGACCAATTATGGAAACAAAATGCACTCCCTAAAGCCACAATATCAAACTGATCACCTCCCATGCAGTTGCCCACCAGGGAGATATCAAATTAAACTCTGAAGACAAATAAGGCAGCCTTTCACACAAGTGAACTCTGCTCACTGGTGAATTTAACAAGTGAAGCAGTGTCTCAGATCCTTTATTACTTGTTAAGGACAGCTAAAGGGTCTGGAAGTTAGACACTAGATCTAGTGGCTAAAGACAGTGGAAAAAGGATTGTGAGCAATCTTGTGCTTGGGATGAATACTTGATGCTGACATCTTTGCTTCTCACACTAGATAGATAGATAGAAATGTGGTTATACATCTCCTCAGAAAATAAACCTGATGCATGGCTACAGATATAGAAAGCTAATTCAAAATAATTATATTTCAAGTTTTTAATCTCTTATTTTACTATGCAGCATTACACAGTTGAATAGAATTGGGAAAGGACAGCAAGGTGTGCAGTAGCTGAAATAAAAGGAACATCAAGGATAGGTGAAGACCTGTGTCACATTTTGTTTACATCTTTTGTAAAGGTTTTAATGAAGATTTCGATGCCCCTCACACATAGAATTACCTCACACATAAAAATTTCAAAGTAAAAACATTTTCTGGTGTCAGACGTAATACTTTCACTCACAGAAAAATCTACCAAACAAGGAAGTTAACAAAAGTATTAACATTAGAATAATGTAAGCTTTGATTTCAGATTCATCAGAGATAGAAATGGGTATTTCCCACATGATGAAGGTGGTATGGTTTAGTTTCATCATCAACATTTTATAAGCAGGATTGCCCTGTGTCCTAAATTCTCCAACCTTTTATCTTCTTCAGAGGTAATCACCAGTTGTTCCACACATCATATAAACAGATTGAGAATGCATAAGAGTTACCTTTATGGAGAAGGCCAAGAACAGAGTCACGTGGCTCTCCTAGGAAACAGCCTTAAACAAAAGCTCTTTAGCTCTCCTTTCCTTTAGAAGGCTGGGCTGTATCTGACTGTGGCATGCTGGAACACTTCACAGCATCTAAGATTTGATGTAAAGCCCAAATCAACATCTTTTGGGTGCACACTGTCCATGGGAAGCACTCCCAGACACATTGGCTAGAAGGGAGACAATGTGCACTGCTGGGAAAGGGCAGAACAGCTCATTATGGAGCATATCTACTGCACATATAAATACAGGCCTCAAAGATAACTGGGGGATGAAGGGCTCTTCTCTATTTCAGTGGCTCCCAACAGAACACCTCTGAGATTTAGCTAAGGTACATGAGTAATTCAAACACTACAACGCAATGAAACTACTGTCAGGAACCCCCTCTTCTCTGACAAACCCACCAGAGTCAGCCTGCCTTTCAGAGTGATTCCAAACTGCTGTTACAGCGCTCCTGCTCTTAGTCTGACCAGTGCCACTAACTCTTGAAACTCCATTCCAGTAGGGAATCCTTTTCTTGAATTGCAGTCATCTGTCTAGCAGATAAACATAAAATCTTACCTATGAATATCAGATAACTTGTGCCCATGAAACTAGATAGGCATAATTTTAGAATCTAAACTGATATTTTAATCACAATAAAATAATAATACATATCCTTGGGTTCTCTATACCATGAAAACTGGGCTTCCTTCTCATAATTTATACAATTAAATATTCTAGCAAATTCAGAGCAACAAGATTTCTGCTCATTGTTGCTAAAAGGCAACAAACAGCATTAAACAAGACAGTAACCACCACGCAGCCCTGGTTTGAAATCTTTCTTTTCACTTGTAGTCAATTCTGCAGAGTTTTTAACCTCCTAGTTTTTGCACAGTCTAACAATATGAAAGTGTATCCAGGTAACTATCAACATCATTATTGTCTTACATTAGTAAATAAATGACTGTGTGACTCACTTTTTTCACTTTGATAAACTCCATTATATGCCCCTATGGGAAAACTGTACAGGCTGTGTGACAGAAAGAGGTGCTTTTAATGTAGGCAGGGAAGATGTGAAGAAAAGAAAGTTCTTATTAACAGCTGTGATTCAAAAACCTCAGAAAAAGCTAAAGCACTGGGGCAGGTTTTAACTAACACATTTTTGAAAGTTTAGTCTACCAAACTGAAATAGTTCATACATTCTTACAACAAAGATCTGGGATTAAAAATCTAAGGACACCTCTCTCTAAAGAGGCACAAACTGGTTTTGAACAAAAGCTTTATCAGCATAAAAAGATACCAAAGTTTACAAATTAAAGTGAAAATGTCCAATTTTAAATTAGTTTCTCCCTTCCCATAGTAAATGATGCGATAAAATGAATTTTTTTTTGTTACAGCTCTCTGTATATAATATATATTATAAATACATATGAAGACTGAATATATATATAAATACTGAAGATTTTAATTACATTAAGATATTTTAATGGCTGATAATATCAAAGACAAATGATACCAGAGAATACAGCAACACAAAATATCTGATACTGGGTATTTTCCTTAAAAATTACACAGAAGGAGCAACTAATTTCAACAATCAATCTGTCAACACAATTTTGCCTATGCATCAAAGTTTAATAGACAAAATCACTGCTAGTGCCTGCTGGCCTAACACTGATGGTTCTGGAGGAAAACGTTTGGAGCTGAAAGAAAAGTATGATCTGAAGTGTTTGCATATTTACCTGTCAAACCCCTGTCTAAAATATACCTTGTACCTTTCATTTAAGGTGTAAACTTAAGACACAGGTACACTCGTGCACACTTTTGTACTGTGACAAAGCCAAAGAACACCTTACAAAGACCACTGAATGTGGCCAATAACATCTGCTAAAGAGTCACTCTTAACAAGCAAATGGTTACCCTGAAAATCTAAAAGTAATGGTTGAACTGTTCCTTTGCACATTTCCAAAAACACTTTCTGCTCTCAAATCAGATGGAAAATCATTTTTGCCAATTCCCTCAATTAAATAAATCATATTAAAATACCATAACAGTTTGGACTAGACAGGGTGAAAACCAAGTCAACATACATCCCAAAAGTGGAAGAAAGATACAACCACAAAGAAACCAAAACGGGTTTTGAAGTTCCTACCAGAAAATGCCAGAACAGAGGAAAGACAAATAGAAAGAAAGATCTCATATCCAGCCTTCCAGCAAAAGTATGTGAAATGACTTTGCATCGTCATAATATGAGAGAAACTAAATTTGTTTAGTAACAAACATTTGGTAAGTTCTACATTGATAATTCAGTCTATTGCTGTCAACAGGCAGATTTGAATAAACATTTTTAAAGGGTTAATTGCTTTAATAAAAATTTTCTCCCTTCTTTAATGGGCTGGGAAAACACTCATACAGTGGTGATAGTAAAGGCGTTGCTTAATAGCTAAAGAAATCTGAACTGTAAGTGAAATACTTGAGAAACACAAGCAGATTAGCATTTTCCTGGTACACTCAGAAATTGTAGCATGTAAACTGTCATTAGCACATTTAAGTCAGACGTAAATAAATGTCTTCTTTTTAGTACTATTTGTTAAACAATGAAGGGTAATCTGGTTTTATAAGTCCCTGTAGGACACACTGCAAGTCAACAGGAGATGATACATATCTTGCTATCAATCTCAAGAGACTGTCAGTAAAATCTGACACAACAACAACCCAGGCCAAACTGAGTATTCCTGGAACATACAATTGATAGCTGTGAGAAAATACACAAACTCTTTTGCTGTGTAGAATCAATATTTAAAGATGCAAAAGTTTACTGGAAGAAATGCTGTCGGTTTACAGCTACTATCTGAATTTGCTAATTCCGAAGCTCCTCACTTCTCGTCTCTATCCTGGTCTCTTGTGGACCATGCTAAGATGCACAACATTTTACCACGCAGCTGGTGATGTTCTTTCTTTTCCATATTTTTAGTGTTTAGTCTTTGCTATTTTAATAATTTTCCCAAAGGTTCTCCGCAGCAGCACAAACCTAGCCCTCTTTGGACCATATTTCCTGAGTAATTCCAAGAACACCTACCCCTTAACATATGGAAAAAGAAACCATCCTTGTGCCTTTAATTTCCTTGTTTCATAAGCAGTCATTAACAACACTTTTGCAGGTTTGATTTTCTCATATATATATTACTTCTTTAAAAATTCACTCTATTGTGGGAGGCAACATTACCCCAACGGTTCTTTTGAAATCTGTTTTCCAGTTCCTTTAAAACAAACAAGAACTATATAAATTAGTAATTTTTGCAAGTCAGATTTTGTAATTTTTCGAATATCTTCATATTCAAAGGGTACCTTTTCTTTCTCTAATATGTCTCCACTTACACTGTGCTACATAATTATTTTTTTTTTTAATCGAACGTAAATTTCAAGTTTTCAAGCCTTCAAGGGGTTCTATGTAAATGTTAAGACAATTTAAATAAAACATAAAATGAAATACATGTTTAAAAATTAAAGAAACCTTTCTTATTCTGAATGATTAAATATCCTTAGAGATTTCTGATAAGCAGCACAGACAGTCCAAATGGAATTTTCGTGTTTGAACTTTTCTACCATCCAAAAATATTATGTTGACTGAATTACCCCACATTACGAGGAGTATAAAATATAAACATTAAATATTGAAT